ACCAGTAGAAATGCTATTGCTTGAGAACCCCTGCCTCAAATAAATGGGTTAATTTACGTTAAAAAAAAGGAAAATATTTTATGTTATTTTATGTTGTTTTATTTTTAGTTTTCTTTCTGTAATTTATGTATGCAAGTATTTTGTGTACTTGCATGCCTCTGGACTATATACTCACAACCATGAACTACATACATGTATAGAGCATTACATACATGCTGGTACATACCTTGTATGCTGTATAACATGGGCAAGCATATTGTACATAGCATTGCATGCATGCCTGTGCTCTACATGCATGCTTAGTGCACTACATGTATGCCTTTTGCAACAATGAATGCCTTGTACACTATATTCATGTTGGTATACTTCATGAATATCTGTGAACTTAATGTAATGGTAAGCACCACATACATACATTGTGAAATTGTAGGCAAAGAGGCCATTGGATTCCCTGGGATTGGAACTGCCATGCGGATGTTAGGAACCAAGACCATGTCCTCTTATCTGCACTAGATTCCAGTCTTAACTAATGAGTCACCATCAGTCCAGCCCCACAAAATTCTCTTTTGAAGGACTAATTTTTTGCACAGGTGAAAAGACTAATTTAGTGGAAAAGGTTTATGGGAAACTGGCTGGTTTCAGTAATACCAAAGACAAACAATGCTTTAAATCAATTAAAATTCATTTGATTAAATACACAGTTACCTTTACTTTAGCCTACAATCATGGTGAACACATTTCTGGAATAATGAAAAAAACTTTTTGAGTTTAAGATACATCAATTATGAGATTACCTGTATAAAACTTCCACAATTATGGATGACATAATCAAAGTAAAATACACTATGCAGAATAAAATGAAGTGGAAATGATTTACTCATAAGATTCTTATTTAAATCATCTTTTCTACAAACTACTATCCTGACAATATGTTTCCATTAAGCTGCAGTTTGAGCAACAATATAATCACATAAGTAACAAAAGTGATCTTGAACTGAAAATGAGAAGAAATGACCGCCATAGAAATGGTCAGGTCTCCTGTGTTTGTGGAAGTTCTGATGCAGATTGTTTGGAAGGCAGAATCAAGTATGGAGAGAGTTCATTTCTACTTCTCAAAAGAGGGTAGGGGAAGAACCCAGAAGTTGCTACCCTGTTGCAAGAGATGAGTAAAGGACAGTGGAGGTTGAAATCCTGTATGGCACACACGGTAAACCACAAAATACAGCCCATACTGGTATACAAACCTCACACCACAATATTTGATCTTACAAATAATATTGATATTTAAAGTGGACTTCTTACCTACACGGGATTCATAAGAACAACACAAACAATTTCAGGAATACACTCAAGACATATTGTAGAACATATTTCAATGAAGTAAAACTTTCAAGAGTAACATTGAAATCAGTGATCCTGGCATGATATCCTAAATAAATTTTCTGTAATGACAAGGACAACTACAAAACTTCCAAAAGAAAATACATGTCATACTCTTGGAAGGTTAAGAATAGATATGAGGGAAGAGAACAGGAAGGGGTAACTAAGCTGGTTCTTCTCTATTACTTTAAAACATGATTTATTGTGTAGAAACTTCTGATTCCAAAGGGGAAAGTATGCTGTAAAAGCAATAACTTTTATTTTAAAATGTAAGTGTAAGAAGAAATTTCAATGAATTCAGCAAATAATTAATATGATCTTAGATTTTAAATATGATAATGTGGGAAGAACAACCTAGAAGAAATACTTTTAAACACTTTAGCCAGTAATCTTAAGACAAAATATCAGTAATTAATGTAAATATTAGCCTCAGTACACATTTCTATAAAATGATATATGCATAATTTTGACCTGAAACCGGTTTTAGCTAGATATTGGTGGCACAGGCATTTAATCCAAGAATTGGAAAGCAGAGATGGGTGGATCTCTGTGAGTTCAAGCTTAGCCTGGTCTACAGATTGAATTCCAGGACAGGCTCAAAAGCTATAGAAAAACCCTGCCTTGAGGAGAAAAAAAAGTGCTTGCAAATTTGCTGATCTTCTGAACTATCACAGTACATTTAAAATTCAAAATTCCCTAAGGTAGTTAGTTCAAGGTGAAACCTTGACTTCTTTGCTGCTGGACTGTTACCTGTGAGCCATGACAACCCTTTCTCCCTCAAGTTGCTTCTGGCCAGTGTTTCTCATAGTGACAGGAACCAGACTTGAAGGAACACACAGATACATATTTATTCATATAAGGGCCTTTTAAAAAGCCTACCTGTCTTTGGAGGAAACCTTGGGCCTGCAAATCCCTTTTATGGGACATACTTTCGAGCATCTGGATGAGGTGGTGGTGTATTCTAGCCTCTTGGATTCTGTGGAATGGCAGGGCATCCATGATCTCTAGGGCCTGAAACATTGGCCACCAGTGGAGGAGTCAAGCCATGGACATCCACTTTGCATTCAGCAGGGCCAGAGTTTGGAAATGTTGCCTTCTGTAACAGAGTCACAATCATTAGTCTGTGTAGTCCTTGATTCACAGCTCCTTTCCTGGGAGTGGCAGGCAAAGAAGAAAGCATTCCATGATGTTGAAGCAAGAATGGTAACAGGCTCAGTCTACCACATGGGTTGAGGATGTCCTTGTTTTCTGTCCTAAGTAATTTTACGAACTCAACAGAAATCTTTAAGCATGGTAGTAACACACCTAGCACACTCTCAAACAAAATTATAGTTCATGAAGATCAAAACAGATACTTTTTAAACTAGATATACACCAGGAAGTTGAGGTAGAGGGATTGAATCCCAGAACTCAGGTGGTAGAGGGAGGTGTATCTCTGTCAGTTCAAGGCTAGCCTTGTGAATAGAGTGACTTCCATGACTGGAACCATTGCTACTTTGAAACCCTATATTTAAGAAAAAGAAAAAAAAATAACCTTACACATTTATCAAACACACAGGAAATGAAAATGGTTAAGATGCTGTTTGGTCTCCCAGAGCACAGGGGAAGTGGCAGGAACGGGGGCAGTGAATGGAGAGAGAAGTAGGAGAAAAGGAGGGGGAGGAAAGGAAAACACGTGCGACCAGGAAGATAAAGCCCAGTTAAGAATAGAAGACAGGAGAGAGAGAGAGAGAGAGAGAGAGAGAGAGAGAGAGAGAGCGAGCCAATATTGGTTTGAAGATAAAATTGAACAGAGAAAGGTCTAGAGAACTACAAGACTGCCACCAACTAACAATTTGAGCATCCATGGAAAGGCTACCATAAATGTCCTTTACTGAGAGTGAGTTCAACAACTTATCCATGGAACCCTCATGGAATACTTGTTGGAAACAGGAGCAAATACCCATACATAAACACTGAGTCAAACTAGAACCCAAATGCAGATGGAGAGGACAAGACCAGGCGACAGAAACACAGGTGGAAGAGGCAGCTTACCTGAACAAGGAGGAGCTAACAGACCACCAGACTATAGCTGGGAAGCCAACATGGGACTGACTCAGGCCCACCTGAATATGGGTCTCAGCCAGAAAGACTGAGCAGTCTAAGAGACCTCAGACAGTGGAGCCAGGATGTATCACTGCTGCACCAAAGGACCTTGCTAAAACATCCCCCATGGAGGAATAACTGTCTTAATCTAGAGACAGGAGAGAAGCCCTAGTCCCTACTTCACATGACCTGTTAGATGTACATGACACCAACTGGATGGCATTCCCCTACATATGGAATTGGGGTGGGGAATGGGAGGGGAGGGTGGTTAGGGTGCAAGTGAGAGGGCAGAGAGGGTAAAATGAAGGGAGGTTGGATGTAAGGCGGGGAGGAAGGGAGGGACGGAGTGGGAACTGCAATAGACATGTAAAAAATTAATTAAATAAAAAAATGCTTTGACTCCAAAATTTAAGTTCAAGGACAAATTACTGGGGAGAAGGATTTCTATTTTTGTTTCCACAGAAAATGAAAAGCTGTGGATTTCTTCCAGACTAATGTGGTTTGATCAAGCCATACCGCCTGAAAACAGAGTACCAGGTGATCCTACATTCAAAGCAGCTGCACAAAGCATCCATGTAGACTACAGCCAGGATTTCTGCATCTTCTTAGAATCCCCCATAACAGCACCCCTTACCAGCAGGAAGCAGTTTGGAAAGAACGACACCCAAATTCGCAAATACTGTCTATAAATATTTGTTTTCATTTAAATGGACTTGGTTATATAAAATTAATAAAAAAAAGAAAATGGTTAAGGTGTTTATAATTTCTACTTGATCCAAATTAATGCTATATTTATAAATCTAAAATATTTTTTAAGATTCAAATAAGATTAGAAGGTAGAAAATATGAAATAGTGCACAGAATGTACAGAAACTTTGATGTCCATTTAAAAGTTGTACTTATTGAAATAAGACATATATGGTCTCTTTCTTTTAGTCCCACCCAGGAATGGGTGTTTTCCATGAACATATGTCTGCATGCATACTACAAACACTCAGTGTTCTGGAAGGATAGACTTGGATACAGATCACTTGAAACTGGAGTGAAGAAGGGTTGTGATCCATCACTAAGTGCTAGGAATGAAAGTGAGGTTCTCATGGAGAGCAGCCAGTACTCTTAACTTATAAGCCATTTCCTCTGCCTATGTAGTTTATTGAGACAAGTTCTTCTTAGATAGAGCACAGTGGCCTTGAAATTACCTTCCTCCTGCCTCACCATGCCCAAATGCTGGGATTGCAGTTAAAAAAAAATCAAAACTTAGCTAGTGATTTATACTATTTCCAGAACATTACAACACAAGGATGAAAATGTTAACACAAATTAAAAGTATATTGTATTAATATTTTGATATCACAAGGTTGTTCTAGCATTATTCTAATAAAACCAAGAAGCTAGTTACGGATCCATGGGTAGAATTCAATTTCCCATTCTTACCACAGAGTCTTGTTTGGTGGCACTCTTCTTGGATTCCAACTTGGAGAATACTGGCCTATCTAGACAGAAAAATTAAATCAGGAAAACTTCATTAGTTCTCACTAATTTCCAGTTTTCACTAATTTCCAAACCATTTCCAGATCCAAATACCATTCACATTTTCCACTCTCCTGCAAGGACAGGGAAGAATTCAACAGGAATACAATAGTACTCCACTTTAGGATCCCCCAAATAGCCTGACACCTATGGAAATTTCACCAGAACTGACATCTTTTTCCAGTGTGCTGCTGACCTTTCCAGCTGGCTCTTAGGCAAACTTGCCCTTCAGGCAACTCAGGATGCAGCATCCACTACCTGTTTTCTATATGTACCAAACTTTCCCTAAGTTCACATCATATACTTTTTGAGAAAAGTACACTTATATATAACTCAAGAAATACACATGAATATTTAAATTTCTGAATTTTATTCTTTCTTAATATTATTTCATTAAATACCTACAGTAGACACACATCTTTCCCAGCTTCTGTGTGTAGTGAGTGATAATTGGAGAGGTCCTGACAAATACAATCTACTGAATATGAAATGATTAAATCACATAACAATTAAGAAGTACCCAAATTATTTTACTGGTAGGCTTTAACAAATCCATTGACATTTGCCTGCATAATAGCCCTTACAGCAAAACAGGTTATATGTAAATGGATTAAGAAGAATGAGATGATAGCTATGAAAGAGAGTAAATTTTTATCATGGCCAGATATAGGAAACCCTTACCAAGGAACAAATCTAACCTTCAATACATACATTAGTTGGCATGCTTAAAAATTTTCACAAGAAAGGGCTAGAGAGATGGGTTCAATGTTAAGGGTCCAGTTGGCTCTTCCATAGGACCTGTGCTTAATTCCCAGCAACTACACAGCAGCTCACAGCCATCTGTAACTGCACTTCTAGGGGATCTTATGCCTTGTTCTGACCTTTTCCAGCATCAGTCATGCATGTGGTACACAGAAATGTGATGGTAGAGATGACAGAGTCATGGAATATCTGCCGAGGAGAGTTGCTAACAGGGAGTGCATCCAGCCCAATAGAAAGAATTGGCTTGCAGCCAACAAAGCTGAATAGAGTTGGAGATCTAAAGAGGATTTTGACATCACATGGAGATGGAAAGTTTGGAGTTTGCCCATTAGTTTCTTGGTCTTCCTTGGCCCAGTATTTCCTCACTCTTCTCTTTATTTGAATGTTGATATATACCCTGTGCCATTATATGTTAGAAGCATATGATCTGCTTTTTGATTTTAATTTTCATGGGTGATTACAAATAAGAGATTGAAGGATTCTCAGAAGCAGCATTGAACTTTATAACATTGTTGAGACACTGTTATAGACTTTGGGGGGTTCCTAGAATTGAAAAAAATGAATTTTGCAATGATATTATTATAAACTTCTAGTGCTAGTGAGTGACAGTTTAAATGTAGCTGGCCCACATACTTTCAAAGGGAGTGCCACTGATAGGAGGGTTGTCTTTCTTGGATTTGTGGTTGGTATGGTCATTTGGAGGGAGGGTGACACTGTGTGGGCAAGCTTAATGGTTTCCTATGCTCATATTACCACCCAGAATTTCAGTAGACTTCCTATTGCCTACAGAATGTAGGATTCTCAGCTCTTTCTACAGACCCACAACTACCTGTATGCCAGCATTCCATATGCCATGATGAAAATGGACTGAATCTCTGAAACTATAAGTGAGCCACTTCAAATACATGTTTCATTTATGCTCTCTCTCTCTCATGCTGTCTCACTCTCTTTCTTTCTTTTCTCTTGTCTTACCCTCCCCAGGCTAAATCTTCCTAGTCCCATGTGATTTTCTTTCCTCCCCTACCCTTTATTCTGGCCTCCTCTCCACTCACACCCCCCCAAGCTCCCAATACGCTAAGAAGATCTAGTTCTTTTCCCCTTCTATGAGGGAACTTGTATGAATCTCTTAGAATCCTCTTTGTATTATAGTTTCTCTGGCATTATGAAATATAGGCTGGTGATCCTTTGGTCTATGTCATATATATATATATATATATATATATATATATATGTATATATATATATATATATATATATATATCAATCAGTGAATACATACCATGTTCTTATTTTGTTCACTAGGTTACCTCATTCAGGAGGTTTCCTTCAAGTTCCATCCATTTGCCTGTGATTTTCAAGATTCCATTGTTATTTTTTGCCACAGAGCAGTATTCCATTGTGTAAATGTCCCACATCTTCTTCATCCATTCTTCATTGGAGGAGCATTTAGGATGCTTCCAGGTTCTTGCTATTACAAATAATGCTGCTATAAACATAGTTAAACACATTTTTTGTTGCATGGATGTGGATCATTTGGGTATATGAATAAGAATAATATTGCTAGGTCCTGTGGTAGACCAATTCCCATTTTACTGAGGAACTGCGATGAAGATCTCCAAAATGGCTGTACAAGTTTGCAATCCCAACAGCAATGTAGGAGTATTCCCCTTTTTCCACATCCTCTACAGCATAAGTTCTCATTAGTGTTCCTGATTTTAGCCATTCTTGCAGGAGAAAGATGGTATCTCAGAGTTGTTTTGATTTGCATGTCACTAATAGCTAAGGATGTGAAACACTTACTTAAGTGTCTTGCAGGCTTTTTATTTCCTCTATTGAGAATTCTCTCTTCAGTTCTATACTCCATTTTTAATAGAGTTATTTGGTGTTAGGGTGACTAGTTTCTTGAGTTATTTGTATATTTTGGAGATGAGCCCTATGTCAGATGTAAGGTTGGTGAAGATCTTTCCCCACAGTGTGGGCTGCCTTTTGGTCTTGTCAACTGTGTCCTTTGCCTTACAGAAGCTTCTCAGCTTGAGGAAGTCCCATTTATTAATTGTTGATCTCAGTGTCTGTGCTACCGGAGTTATGTTCAGGAATGAATCTACTGTACCAGTTTCTTCAAGGGTACCTACCACTTTCTCTTCGAAGATATTCAGTGTGGCTGGATTTATGTTGATGTCCTTGATCCATTTGTATTTGAGTTTTGTGCAAGGCTATAGATATGGGTCTATCTGCAGTCTTCTACACACTATCATCCAGTTGTTCCAGCACCATTTGTTGAAGATGCTTTCCTGCTCCCATTGTATTCTTTTAGCTGTTTTGTCAAAAAACATGTGTTCATAGATGTGTGGGTTAATATAAGGATTTTTGATTTGATTACTTTGATCTACTTGTATATTTTTCTGCCAATACTAGGCTGTTTTCACGAATATAGCTCTAGTCAGGGATTAAAGTCAGGGATGGTGATGCCTCCTAAAGTTCCTTTGTTGTACAGGGTGGTTTGGCTATCCTGGGTGTTTTGTTTTTCTATATAAATTTGATTATTATCCTTTCATGGTCGGTGAAGAATTGTGCGGATATTGATGGGGATTGCATTCAATCTGTAGATTGCTTTTAGTAAGATTTCCATTTTTACTATGCTTATCCTACCTATCCAAGAGCATGGGAGATCTTTTCATTTTGTGGTATCTTCTTTAATTTCTTGGTTTAAATAAACAGTTTTTGATATATAGGTCTTTCACTTGTTAGTTAAGCATTACCCCAAGATACTTTATGTTATTTATGGTTATGGTAAAGGGTGATGTTTCTCTGTTTTCTATGTCAGTCCCATTGTCCTCTGTATATAATAGGGCAACAGATTTGTTTTTGAGTTGATCTTTTATAGTGGTAGTTTGCTGAAGGTGTTTATTAGCTGTAGGAGTTCCCTGATAGAAACATTTGGGTCGCAAATGTATACTGTCATATATTTTCAAATAGTGAAAGTTTGGCTTATTCCTTTCCAATTTCTATCCCCTTGATCTCATTTTTTGTCTTATTCCTTTAGCTGGAACTTCAAGTACAATATTGAAGCAACATGGAGAGAGAGGGTAGCCTTGTCCCTGGTTTTACAGGAATTGCATTAAGGTTCTATCCATTCAGTTTGATGTTGGATGTTGATTTAATATATATGCTTTTATCATGTTTAGGTATGTTCCTGTTATCCTTGATCTCTCCAAGCCCTTTATCATGTAAGGGTATTGGAATGTGAAAAAGGCTTTTTCAGTAAACGCTGTTTTTTTTTTTTTTTTCAGGTTGTTTATATGGTGAATTACATCAATCGACTTTTGTATGTTCACCTATCCCTGCAACACAGGGATAAAGCCTACTTGGTCATGTTGGATAATTTCTCTGATGTGTTATTGGATTTGATTTGCCAGTATTTTATTGAGTATTTTTGCATCTATGTTCATGAGGGATATTGGTCTATCCTTTTCTGTCTTAGTTGTGTCTTTGTGTGTCTATGTTACCAAGGTAATTGTGGCCTTGAAAAAAATGTTTGGTAATGAACATTTTGTCTCTATTGTGTGAAACAATTTGAGGAGTATTGGTATTAGTTCCTTTTTGATTTGCTGGTAGAATTCTGCACAAATGCCAACAGGCCCTCGGTCTTATTTTGTTGGGAGGCTTTCGTTGACAGCCTAAATTTCACTGAGGGTATAGGTAAGTTTAAGTTGCTTATCTGTTCTTGATTTCCTTTTGGTAAGTGATAATTATCCAGAAATTTCTCCATTTCCAATGAATTTTCAAATTTTGTGGCGTACAGGTTTTACAGGATTTTAAAGTACAACCTGAAAATTGTCTTGACTTCCTCAGTATCTGTTATTATGCCCATCTTTTTGTTGTTGACTTTGTTATTTTGTGTGTTCTCTCTGTGTTTTTTGGGTTAGTTTGGATAAAAGTTTGTCTATCTGGTTGAGTTTCTTAAAAAAATAAAAACCAACTCTTTGTTGCATTGATGTTTTGTATCATTTTCCTTGTATCTATTGATTTGTTCTCTCGAATTGATTATTCCCTGGCATCTACTCTGGGGTGAGTGTGTTTCTTTTTGTTCTAAGTCTGTTAGCTGTGCTATTAATTCTCTAATGTGACTATCCTCAGTTTTCTTCAAATGGGCTCTTATGAAATGAACTTCCATTCTTTGTAGAAATCTTTTCAATGTTTAACATAAGTTCGTGTATGTTGTGTCCTCATTGTCATTGAATTCTAAGAAGTCATCCATGTCTTTCTTTATATCTTCTTGACCAGGAATGGTCCAATTGGACATTGTTCAGTT